GAGAGAGAGAGAGAGAGAGAGAGAGAGAGAGAGAGAGAGAGAGAGAGAGAGAGAGAGAGAGAGATCAGAAGAAAGCGGCGGCGAAGAAGAAAAAGAAGAAGAAGAAGGAGGAGGTGCACCAGGGAAGGCGGGCGAGATATCAATGAGCTTGGCGAAGTGGGAGGAACAAAAGGAGGAGGGGCAGGAGCAGGAGCTGGAGCAGAAGCAAGAGCAGGCGGCGTGGAGCAGGAGACCATCAATAGGAGGGGATGGGGACGCACTTGACCGGGATAATTACCTTCGCGGTTACTGCCAATATAGGCGCCAGTTAAGTGCATATTCACACTAAGACCTCCCAGGACGTATATGACCGCGACTACAAACGCAGTCAGTCCCAGAGCTCCTCGTTTGAGAACCCCCTAAGAGAGACAAAATGGAGATCTGATTACCTAGAGCCAGACAACAATCAGGAGGCGCGGAGCGTCGGCCGCGAGGCGACACAAAGGCGGGGAAGCAAAAGATTTACCTCGGTTCAAATTGGCGGCTGGGAAGGAGCAGGTGTATTTTGGGGGAGACAGTTCAGATTCAGATTCAGATCCGGAGACACGAAGATTCTCACGTCCGTTAGGGAGCCAATGATCCTGTGGTTCCCGAATCATGTCCTGGCCCTTGAGAGATGATATATGGCTGAAGTGTGCATGGCAGAGAAATCTGGAATGAGGGAGCAAGAGAGAAAGGATGGACTAAAGGAGTGCCGGCGCCTAAGGGCCTCGTTCCACTATTCGCCATCCGCCACGCGTGGCGGGCGTGCCTTCGTTCCATCACATCGCCAATCGCCACAAAAAGAGAATAGTCAGAATTTACGAACAGATGTATTTGGCGGCCGGTCGCCAAAGCCTCTAGTTTCCCCTGCCTGCGACGGACTTTCGTGGAGGGCGGTATGTTCACCTCTCCATGGAACTCCTCGAGTGGCGGCTGCCTCTGACAGCGACAACCTGACGCTCGGTCTTTGTTGTCCCGTAGTGTTGGCGAATTTCTGTTGTGCGTATCAGTTTTTCCAGTCTCCTTTGGTTCCAGGACCTTCAAACCTTCTCGGACCATGAGGTCGTGGACCACCCCACCAGGCCCAGGCTGGTCCCACTTCGTAAACGTGGCGAAACGGTCACACCGTTCAATTGCCTCGCCATCTGCTGCAGTCCGCTGTGTCTGTCGGGATCGAAACCCCACCTCGTGTGGCGGTGACGAGGAAGTGGAACCACAAGTCGTTTTTCCGCCACAATTTCCTGGTTTGGAGCATCGCCGCACCTCGCTACGATTTGTGGCAGATGGCGAGTAGTGGAACGAGGCCCTAAGGCCCAAAAAGATGCCCAAGGCCGCCGGAGCCATTGAGCCAAAAATAGACCAACACAATGGTGGGCGGCAAAGTGTTGCAGGAATGAGTAAAGGAGGCCCTCCTTCTCAAAGAAGGAGGACTGTCGAAGAAATAATACCCTTAGGCCGAGTGCCGCAGGTAGAAGGGGGTCAACGACGTCAAGGAAAACAGTGTTGTGACACCGACATATGGAAGCGTAGCATACGGCCAAGGAGGCCAGCTGAATTCGGCATTAGGAGGGTCAAAGGGTCATGGACCAAGCAAGGAGACACGGAGGACGGGCTAGCAGGGCCACCCGAGCAAGTATCGGGCCACGAGCAACTTGAAAGATGAGTGGTCTTGGGGGTCATGATAAAAAGGACTGGAAAAAGAGGAAGAGAGTCTCGATGTCGACGCCCCTAGGCCTTGAAACTGAGGAGAGATCCAAAGGGAATGCAACGGACTACAAGGGAGTGTCAAGCCATGAGAAAAAGAGTCTTGACGGTCACAAAACGCTAGAAAAGAAAGCCCCAAGCGTGGGGACTACTTGCGGCAATAAACGGTGACCGTGAGATTAGAGATCTCGCGGCCAAGAACGTCCGGCATGCTTGGGATATGTGAGAAGGCGGAAAATTGGGTTGTCAGGGAATGAGAAATGCAAAGAAAAATCGGGACACCGTGGGAAAAGGTGTCGGGAACCGTATGGGACCAAGCAAAAATAATGGCATTTTGGGACAAGTGTCGACGGGACTGTCAGCGGGACAAGTGTCGGGGACTAGTTTGGAACAAGTGCCGACGGGATCACCAGCGGGGCAAGTGTCGGGGACTAGTGCGAGACAAGTTTCGAGGACTAGTGTAGGACAAGTGTCGAAAACTTAAGTTGCCCCAAGGAAGAACTGTACAGTGTCATGAGAAAGAAATATTTAAAGCAAGACGCGCTGTTTAGATCAAAATTTAAACGCCCAAGAATATTAGCATCACTAGTGCAAGCACTTGGAAGCAAGTGAGAGAGTCGTAGAGGGAAAAAGGAAGCAAAGAAATGAGGAAAAGGAGGTGGACTGCAATCCGAAATATCTCGGACCACCCACCCTAGAGAAAATGAAACCTAAAGAGACTTCATGTGAAAAACGAGTCATCGGAAGAAAATCGGAGTAGGAGGGGCCACAGTTTTGAGAAAATGGAGACAACATCGGGGTTCCCGTGAGCATGGGGGTGTCACAATATCAATCCAAGAAATAACGGACTGCACCTTGGACATGATCTAGACCTGAATCAAGATGTAAAGCCTCGAGAAAACCTCAACAGTTGTTGACACTTGGCATGTAAAAAAAAAAAAAAAAAAAAGCGTCACTAATGGTAAAAAACGATCACTTGGGAGATGCATCAGTGACCAGATTCATCCTTCGGTTAATCGATTACAAAGTATCTTGATTTTCTTTATATTTTACTCAGAAAAAAAAAAAAAATCAAGGCCTCATGCAACCGAGATACAACGAATTACAAGAGGGAGGGAAAACATATGTTTTGAGTACGTCCGGAACCAATATCGAGTCCGTATGTACTTGGAAATTGACCGCTTCATTTTGTTTCAGTTTGGGGCAAGTTGTGGGGCCCTGAGACTATAAAAATGACCACTAATGCAGTCCGAGAAATAACAGACTCCAGTGGGGTGCGAAGACCAAGGGAAAATGAGTCGTGCACCCGAGACACTAGAAAGAAGTGTCTCAAGCTTGGAGCAAGTGAAAACGGTAAATGGCAACCGTGATATGAGGATCTCGCGACCGATAATAATCAAGGCACTTGAGGCGCATGAAAAAAAGAAAATGAGACTGTCAGGGACTAGGGAGTCCCAAATAAAAATGGGACGTCATTGAGAACCGTCCCATGGACTAAATGAGTCAAAATAAACATAATTGAAATTTTTGACATACCTTGCCGGTATCGAGCGTATCGGTCCAGCACCGCACAAATGGGGCGGGACCCTCCCGGCCGCGTCACACAGGAGTTGGTCTGATCCTCGTCGTGAATACACATGGAGCTTCCGCCAGCCGCTTCGGCTGAGTGCGCCAGCCATACCTCTCGTGAGCCCCTACGACAGGATAGGGTCAACGCGATGCACGACTTACCTCTACCTTGTGGGAGTTGTCACCTCCCTTCGGTGGGCGTATCTCCGCCGAGCTACCAGTCCACAGTACGAAAGCTAATCAGTTGCAATCTCAGAGGTGAACCAGTCGATAGCGTTTCTCGTTCGCTGTAGCATTGGGGGTACACGCGGTTTTACACCTCTATCAGACCCGCACGCGAACCGACGCCTTGGGGTGGCTGAGGTCCCAAGCACGACTCATTGTCGGTCGACTAGGATGAATCCCACACACCACTCGTACACCACTCTAAAGACATAAAAATTACGCACACACACACATATACAGAACGACACAGAACAAACAACGCGACAACACTCATAGTCTCTTAGTAGCCATCCCATAATTCTCCGATGTGGAAATCAGATAGGCGTCTCGTCCGAAACTTAGTATATAAAACCGCGCGGACGCAAAACTAACTCATATCGATTGGCAATGCGAGTATACACAAGCAGTCGTAATGATGACGTACTATGTAGTATCCATACTCATGCGGTCTTCGTTAATCTCGAGGGTCATATTCAACACTCAAGTGTCGGCTGACACACGCCTTGAGGGATTGATCGCTTGATGTTGGACAACCGTCAAGTGCGGGGGTATACAAGTTCATACATGTGGTGACAGTCGTCTTTTATCACTCTGGAGACCAGCTCCATCATCTAGGGGCTTGAGAAAAATCAAGGGGTTTGACTTTGACGGCTGTCACGGACTACAACATCCAACTATAAAAATTTTAAAAAAACAAGGATAACATACGATCTCCCTTTTCTATAAAAAACATAACTTGTTTAACCCTTCCACGTGGTCACAGTAGGTCGCGCGAAACACTCAAGACATATGTTTTTACAAATATATAGAGGGTTATAAATATGTGATGATCACTTCTCACAATCACAGTGAGACTCCTCTCAACCATATATATGTATATGACTGCAGACAGTCAAATCCAAAGTCCGAACCACCAAACATACCTGCAATCATATCAAAGATTCAACCAAAAGTCCATGCACTACACGGGGTCAGCTTCAACCATTCTCTGCACTCACACCCCTCGCTTTAGCCATGCAAGCTTCACTCTTGTGCAACTCCTCAAAATAAAATACTCAATACTTTTCTTTAAATGGTCATTCAAATAAAGTCCGGGCGAAAACACAACGAAACAATTCAAACCACATGGTTAAAGCCTTTAGATTGAGTGGTAAGAGTGAATTGGAGTTGAGTCATAGCACGACGAATCGGTAACCAACATGTTATCAGTGATAACAGAAAATGATCATTTTGGGATCAATCTGAATCTAGTCAAAATCTTCAATCGAATGATCAAGAGGACATGTAACACAAGACAGGTCAATCCCCAGGCTAAACCATCAGTGCATGGGGAATGAATCTCCATAACACATTTTCACCCAAGGTCCTCCTACAAGCTAAGCCTATACCTACCTCGAAGCCAGTACTCAACGTAAGGTGGACCTATGGCAGCATCTCCCCTATTCAGAATTTATACTAACTTAAAGTGCCTTCTCAGAATTTATACTAACTCAAATATGAAAATAAAAACAGTATCTACTTCAGGAAAGTCGATTTTTGTCTAACTCCCTGAATTAGTAAAAATTTGGGCAGCATTCCTTTTAGAAAAGTAGACATATATTAACTAAGTCGGATATGAACCCAGAAGCAAACACTTGAGTTTAACTAAGATAAAATTTAATGAACTCCTTAGATTTGTAGAAATTTCGGCAACACTCCCTTTAGAAAAGTGTTATTCTAAGATTTATACAAAGATGAGTTGATAATCTAAAATGACTTCGATTTTTCAAGGTCCAATTATGTCTAATTCCTTAAATTAGTAAAAATTTGGGTAGCATTCCCTTTAGAAAATGAG